CCCAGAGGCAAGAAGGGCCAAAGCCCTTTGTGCCAAGTGGCATCACAGCAAGAAATTAAGACTTTATTTGGACTCCTGACCACATGGCTGTATAGCCCTGGGGGGTACCCTCGCATAGTAGTCCATGGGTAGTGCTCTGGGAAGCCTTTCAATAGAGCCCTATGTGAACGTGACCCTTGGGTTGTGTGATGCATCTTGCTCCAAGTTGTGCTTTCTCCATTCTTCCCTACTTTCCGTTTTAGCTGTACACAATCTCCACCCGAGAGATCCCTCTCACTGCGCCACAGGAGGCCATTATATGACCACTATATCCTGCGCTCCAGCCGGACAGCACACGCCAGCCAGTTGGGCAGCCACCAACAAATTAAGTTCCTATTTTATTGAGTGTTTTCAAGTTAGCTTTATTTGGGCGAGAGAAAAGTCAGCAGATGGTCATACACGTGCATACCACATTTTTATAAGCAGCTTTCCCTTGAAGGAAAGAACTAGCATAAATCTACGAAAGCAGCCTCACATTAGGGAAGGTAGAGAAATCTAGCGCAGGGATTATTTTGTCTGGTCCAGAACCTAATGTATTACCTGTTGTATGATGACAAAGGAGACTGGAGATCTTGGAGGCCTGGGTCCTAAGTTGCTTTGTGACTTTGGACAAAAATGGATAATTACTCTCCATCCATCCATCCACTGGTCTACACCACCTGTGTAGCCAGGTGAGGTCTCTGCATAGGTAACATCCGAGCTGAGGTTTGGGGTAGCACAATTAAACAAATATGAGGGAGTGGGATGGGTGTGAGTCCTGGGTAAAAGCAGCTTCAGGGATAAACTGACTGAATTCCAGTGTGTATGTGGGGGATGGTAAACAGTGAGGCTTGGGAAGAAGGGAGGCAGGAAGGACCAGGTTCAGAACCAGGCCTCTTGTGAACAGCTGAGGTTTCTGAACTGCATCCTGAAGAATGTGCAGCAGGAGGGTGACAAGATCAGATTCCTTGCCAAATTTTTATGACATAACTAAGATTATGGGCTTATCTTTTAAATTATATACTTATTGTGATCATACTTTTTTCTTTTACATTTGCTTATTATTTTAAATATTTATAAAAATAATTTTTACTTCTATGCTTTTTTTTAGAATTAATACACTTTTATTCAAGAATTTCTATCTTCTTGAGTGCTTTATCTGTAGATAATTATTTCTCAAGAATAGTTCCCCAGTGATAGTTCACATTCCCTAGAACCGACCAGAAGGTCATCACCAGCAGCCAAAGATTTCTCATATCTCTCTACTGGAGCTGCTTCCTGGCCTCAGGGAGCGTGGCCCACAGCCAGGAAGCACCGGATTGCTCCTGGCCTAGCAGCAGAGTTTCTCCATGGGTGAGTGACAGGAGCTGGTAGATAAATCTCCAGCAGCTTCCTTACCCCTAAGGGGATGACTCAGAGGTGTCCGCAGACTGTCTCTTAGCCTCTGTGGCAGGACAAGGCAGAGCTGCCCACGGGGCCCATCATCTGCACATGGGTCCTCCTCTCATGTCTGTCATCCCTTCCAGTATGAACTCGCCATACCCACACAGTGCCTCCCAGGGCCTTGCCCCCAACAAATGACCTGGACTATGTCATCATGTCAGGGTCACTTTTGGGGGGAATCCAAATCAAGAGAGTTACTAGGATTTCATATATCTGAGGATATCTTTATTTTGCCTTCACCATGGTGGGCCAACGGACTGGCTCTAGCATTACAATTCACAAAAATCATTCCAGCTTTTCATTTTAATGTTACAGAAGCTGTAGAGAGCTGATTTGTTTTCTGTTAGATATAACATCCTTTAAAGCCTTAACATTAAACATTTCGGGCCTTCCTGGTGGTGCAGCGGGTTGAGCACAGCACCGTAAAGCTGTCCACAGCTTCTGCAGTGCAGGTTCGATTCCCAGCCGGCCAGGGAGAAACTCACATGGCTCAGCAGGCCTCTCCTGTCTCGCCTGCTGCTCCCCTCAGCAGTGTCTTTGGTCCATCTGCCTGTTCTGCTCCCCACTCTATCTCTGGTGAATTCTCTCACCTTCCTGCACGTCTCTTATCTGTACCCAGTTCTTGTATAAATAAATAAAAAAAAAATTAAACATTGGGCCTCCCCGGTGGTGCAGCGGTAGAGCGCTGGGTTGCAAAGCTGCCCGCGGCCTCTGCGGCGCCGGTTCAATCCCCGGCTGCTCCCCGGCCACTGGAGGAGGGTCCCACATGGCGTGCAGACCTCTCCTGCCACCCGCTGCTCCCCTCAGCAGTGTACTTGGGTCCTTCTGCCTGCTCTGCTCCCCGCTCTGGCTCTGATGAATTCTCTCACCCTCCCGCGCTTCTGACTGTACCCAGTGCATGTATAAACAAAACAAACAAATAAATAAATAAATAAAACATGCCTCTAAAAAAAAATTAAACATTTCGTGAATCTATGTGCAGACATAAACTGTTGTTAATCTTTTGTCTGATAGCTGGGGCACCTGTTCAAGCATGGGGTGCTCCTTTGCCATCTATCGTGCCTTCTCTCTCAATTACTAAGGCGGATCCTCTTGGCTGACTGTCCAGTCTCCCCCCACATCACTCCACATCTGTCATCTTCACTGACAGCTTCCAAAACATGCCCTCTACACAATGAACCTGCTTTCCACACTGCTAATGCTGCTCTTTCCTGATTTAGGACATATTTTAATTCTGTCATTGCTTTCTTGGTTTCAGTATTAAGTTTTCTTCTTAGTGCCACAAACTTTATTCTTGCTTGCTTCTCAGTCCACTCCATTTTCACCCGAGGCCACTGCTTGACAATCTGATCTTTGACTATGCATGCTTTCTTTTCCTTGAATTTCATCAAGAGCAAAAGTCAGTGCTCTGTAAAATTTACTTTTGTTTTCTATTAATTATCTCTTCAAAAGGCATGCTTTCCCTCTGTATATGGTATTATACTTTTCTTAGTTTATGTGCTAGAAACTTCTTGCAGGGTCCATGTTGGTTCTTCTAGGTCTATGGGGGTGGGGAGGGCTCCCTTGTTGTCCCCTCACTATCTAGTGGGATATGGTTAGTCTTGCTCTGGGCTGGTCAGTGGCATCTTGTTTCTCCATTGCTCAACCATGCAGTCATGGATATAGCCATAGAAGGGGACATTTTGTTTCTTTCCTGCTGCACTGAGGGTCACCTGGCCCACCTGCTTTTCTAGCTGGCCCTGCCTCCATGCAGCTGTGTGGCATTGCTGTGTCCTGACACCTTTTGTGTAGTAACATTCATCACAACCCCAAGAGCTGATACCTTGTCAGCTTTCTGCCAAGTTGAAGCCTAGGGTTTCCTGCACCAAAGGTTTTAAAGGTTGCTGGGATTCAATCACAAGGGAGTTAAATAACATGTTCCCATTTTCTCACCATCAGGTACAGTGTCTAAGGACATACCTGTGTCCTCCTCAGAAGCACTGTCTTGGCTTACTAGAGCTCCCCTGTTCAGAATGGAGGCTGTGATGGGACACAGTGGTCAGTGAGGACCCAGGGGTTGGAGTGATACTCCCCTGCCACTTCACAGGGGACAATTCTGCTGAGTGATTTATGCTCTAGGGCATCCCCCCACCTCTTCCCACCCTATAAATCAGATCAAGGCTAAATTTTATGATGGCACACCCTTAAACAACCCTTTCCCTGATCCATTCTACTTCCCCCACTTCTCTTCTCCTGAGAGTATTCCTCCAGTAAATCAGATCACCGGATTTCATGCAGTAAGGAGGGAATGGGAAAAATGTATGTAAAGGCCCCTGGTGGCCTATAAATGCTACTTCCCCTTCCCCAAACAATTGTGAAACTATTTGGTTATAATCACTTGCTCAGGTTAATCTCTGTAAGACTTTCATTGTAACATTATTTAAAAGATAACAAAACAAGAAATAATCTAAATATCTAATTATAGGAATCTGTAGGCAATTCATAGCATAGCTGATGGAGTATCATGCAGTCTAAAAGCTAAAAAGACAACCAGGGTGAAGGGAAGCTGAGTAAGGCACAGGAGGCTACTTAGTTTACGAAATGACATTACCGAGTCCTATACATTGACAGAGCAGAGCCAGTTTTCCAGAAGACAATCATGTTCAGTCACTTAAGAGGATGACACGTGATATCCACAAGCAAAAAACATGTCAAAGTGCTCAGGAAAAGCAGTTACTCCGAATTATCCCGTCAGAGATTCTGATTCCATTTTAACACAGACATCTAGTCAAAGCATTCGATGCCACACATAGTTTGAGACACTACAGAACTTTCCATCAGAACAGCTATCAACAGAGCAGCCTCAGGTAGGGTGAGGTCTGCCTGAGCCTACTCTTTTCTCCTGCTGCCCCCAAAGAGGTCTGTTATTCCTTCTTCCCAAAAGAGGTTCATTGAACCTGACCAGACAGGAGTCAATGCCAGTTCTTTTTCCTTCCTGAGTGGCCCTATTTAAACTTCAATTCATTCAAATCAATTAATTCACACTACAAAAAAAAAAACTCACTTAATTCATGGAAATAATTTAATTTCCTCAATTTACTAAATTATTTCAGGAATAAATAAATATGCAACAGTATAGGCTGATATACCTGACCCTCTAATGGAAAACATCAAGTGCATCCCTGACGACAAGCATGATAAGCAGTGATCTGCCCTTATATCTTATCTTGTTTTTCACAATTGACCTACGACTGGAATTTTGTAGAACGTGCATTGCTGGAGACAGTAACTATCATCCCAGAGAGGGGACCACACCTATGACTGTAGCAGAGGGGTTCCACAAAAGAGTGGACAGCCATGATAGAGATCGCTCTGACACGCGGAGGCATTTACAGTTTTTTCTTTGGCTGCACCAACATATTCTAAGTCCAAAAGGAAAAAGTTCAAATAGTTACAAATAACACAGTCCTTACAGAATCACTATAGTCCCCCAGCTATAAGAAAAGTCAGAAAATGCGCCACATGGAACAAAGGCTCTCTTTTGGAGATGCTGTCCTTACCTTCTGCCACATGTTGATGAAGAAAAGCTCCCGGGAAACATTGAACGAGACATTGGCATCATAGGCATCGTCCCCAAGGTTGGAGATGGAGATGTTTAGGGAGATATTCTTCACAGCCCCCAAAGCTAGATATGGAGTTTTGTCATCAATGCTGCAAGGAAAAAGAAACAGCAGTCAATGCCCTGACATTTCCACAATATGTGGCATCTGGGGGTAGCTGAGAGAGGGGGACGGAAACCCCACTGGGAACAGAATGACAAGTCCTGGGAACCCCACTAACCAGCCCTATTCCTCAGGCAGTCAGCTGCCATGGGGCTCAGTTTTCCATCTAAGCACAGGGGGTTCTGTGTTGTCTCAGCCACTAGGCTGTTCTGTAACTCACATGAAATCTGGAAAATTATATAAAACATCCAGTCATCTACATATGGAATTCGGTCGCGTATTAATTCATTGAAATATTTTTGAGCACCAGCTCTATGTGTCAACAAAACAGAGGTCTTGCCTTCTTGGAGCTCCAGGGAGAGGAAAAAAAAACGCAAAAGAAGTAAATACACGGGTCAGAGAGTCTAAGAGCTCCCAGAAAAGATGGATCGAGACGTTGGCATCATAGGCATCATTTTCAGGGAAAGGAAAAAAAAAGAAAAAGGAAAAAACACATAGGTCAGATAGTGGGCAGGAAGGACAGAGAGCACCTGATATGGAGGGCATGTGGGTTGTGATTTAAATGGGATGGTCAGGGAAGTGCCATTGATTAGAAAACCTCTCAGCAGAAGCCTGACAGAAGAAAGGGAGCAGATATCAGGGAACTAGCCAGCGGGGGAGCTGAAGTGGTCAAGGACTGGAATGGAGGCCAGGAGGAGGAGGCCTCGGAGGAGGGGCAATGGGAGGAAGTGAGCTCCACGAGGCAAGAGTCCGCAGCAGGCAGGCCCCCAAGGACACTGTAGTTCTTGTAAGGACCTCATTTGACTCTAATATGGGAGCACCTTCAGGCCTCTGAGCAGAGGAGAGGTATGACCTGACCTCCATGTTTAAGGGTTCACCCTGGCTGAGAACTGCGGGGTGAAAGGCTGGGGGAAGCAGGGAGCCTGGTTAGGGAGCTATTGTAATAATCCAGGAGAACATGACTCAGGCCATGGAGTAGAAGCCGAGGAAGTGAGAAGATATTCTGGATATGTTTTACAAGCTGGGCCATAGATTTCACTCATGGATTAGATAAGCAGTGTTAGGGAAAGAGTAGTCAAGGATGTTCTTTAAGAATTTAATTTTTTTTAATATTTTATTTTATATAATTCTTACATCATTTTTCATTTTTGCACAATGTATGCATTTTCATCTTGGTTATATTCCCCATCAATTGCACCCCCCCCCTTATTTTGACCCTAATCCTTCCTCTCCCCACCCCTTTTCCTCCCCCCCACCCAGTGTGTCTCTGGTCCATAGTTGCTTGTTGATTTTTTTACTTTGTATAAATTAGTCTTTTTCCTGGTCCCTTATTTAGGTTTTTTAAATTCCTGCTATGAGTGAGACCATCCAGTATTTTTCTTTTTCTTTCTGGCTTATTTCGCTGAACATGATCCCTTCTAGCTCCATCCATGCTGCTGCAAACTGCATGTGTTTATCTTTTTTGATTGCTGAGTAATATTCCATGGTGTATATGTACCACATCTTCTTGATCCAGTCATCTATTTTTGGGGCATTTGGGTTGTTTCCATAGCTTAGCTATTGTAAATAGTGCTGCTATAAACATAGGGATGCAGGTGCCCTTTGGAATTAATGATTCTGTGTCCTTTGGGCAAATACCTAGGAGTGGAATTGCTGGATCATATGGAAGCTCCATCTTTAGCATATTGAGGAATCTCCACACAGCTCTCCATAGTGGTTGGACCAGTTTGCACTCCCACCAGCAGTGCAGGAGAGTTCTTTTCTCTCCACATCCTCGCCAACATTTGTTGTTACTAGTTTTTTTTAATTCAACAACTAGAAGGGAAGAATTATCATTTATTTAGAAGGGTTAGTGGAGAAAACCCAATGGCCTACTGGTAGAACTGGGATTAAAGTTGGTGGGAAAATGGGCTCAAGGGAGTTTTTTTTTGTTTTTTTTTTTAATGGAAATCACAGTGTATTTCCATAATAATGGGAAGGATCTGCTAGAGAGGTAACAATGACAGTGTGACAGGGGATCCCCACTGGATGGGTGGGTGAAGAAGTGGAGGGGGTGGCCTCAGCTGGTATGAGGTGAGAAAGTGGAGATGCATTGGTAGATAGGTGGTAGGAACAGGAGAAAGCTCTATTGTGATTGATTCCATTTTGCAGTGAAATGGAAGCAGGGCCACAGACTGGGAAGGGGAAGAAGAAGGAGATGTTTAAGGGGGGAGGCGATACAGGGAAATAGCACATGGAGATGAGGATGAAGATAAGACTGATGGAGATGAGGATGGAAACAATGATAAAGGTGCACATAGATTAATGATTATTATGTGATGTGAGCTTCAGACAAAATAAATTCAGGTTGGTGGTCAATCATTGCTAGGCCAACCAGCTACTGAAGATGTGATTAAACAAAAGAGGGTTTGTGTAATGAGCAGTTGTCACTTTTGGCGATTCAGCATCCCGACACCTTCCTCTTTGGGATGTGGGGGATCTCCAGATAGGAGGGGAAAGCCTATCAGCAGGAAGAGGGCAGACCCTCCTTCTCCCCTACTCTTGGTGGTTAAAGTGTGGGCACCTGACTAAGTGCATCATATGATCTAAGGGTGGCTGAGTGGCTTGGGTGTAGAGAATAGATACTGCCAATCAGGTGTATGAACTTTGAGGCTTGTTCCAACACACCAGGGCCTCCTAGGATCATCTGAGTATCTACAGATTTGAGAGCACAGAGGTGGCTTCCTAAGCTAAGGTTTGCCTCCTGTTTACCACTGATTTCTGTGAATAAGTCCATATCCACCCAAAGCATTCCTTTTCTGCTTAAATTAACCAGCACATGTTTGTTGTTGTTTGCAACCATGAATATAGTTAATATACCATGAAAGAGACAAGAACTATCCAAAGTCTCAACAGGCCGTAATACTTTGAAATATGAATTTGGGGAGAGAGGAATTATCATTATCCCTTCATGAAGAGAGGACTTCGCTTTCCCGCATGCCTGGCACGTCAACAAGAATAACATGTGCAATGAAAGATCTGATGGCCTTGCTTTTGGAAGCAAGGGGTCTAAGGATCTAAACAAGATGTGAAAAATTAACTTGAAGAAAGGTTTCAAATTCTTGAATGGCCTCCAATAAATTAAGACCTTGACCTCAAGCTATTGTGGCAATTATTTATTGTTGTTGGCCATCTTAATTTTAAACAATTGATGGGTTATTTCTGTCCTCCTGTTTGCTTTTAGAAGATTAAAGGCGTAATCCTTGGGCCTTAAGAAGCTATGCAAGAGAGCTAACCTCACTTTATCTTGAGAAGGAAATGCACAAGCACATACAAGTAGCCCAATGGCCTCAGAGAGCATCCACAGTTCATTTCCAAATAGAATTATTAAGCAGAGAGAAAAGACAGAAAAGCACAGGACTATGGGGTAGGGGAATGTCTCCTCATTCCAGCTTCGCTATTCATGTGATCGACCTCCTTTACTGCTATGTAAGTGGAGGAGATCAGAGCAGGGACATCTAACCTTCTGCCAGTCCCCAAAGCTTGGGTATCTGTTACTTAATCATGCAGCAAGTTCATGCCTGGGGGTTCAAAGTCAAGTGATTCAAACAAGTCTCTGATTAAGGCGAGCCAGTCACCTTGCAGGACAGAATGTGAACTCAGACTTTTAAAGGCTGTTTTTAGTCTATTTCACAGCTAAAAAATTATGCATAAAACAGTATGTCTCTGTTTCCAAACCTATTCTTAGAAATGCAATTTGCCAGCATGATTCTGGGTACTTTCAAACATGTTGTTCTCAAAAACCTAACAATACCATGAAAGGTTCCTGATGTTGGCCCACTTTATTTTATTTTTTTAAAGATTTATTTATTTATTTATACAAGCACTGGGTACAGTCAGAAGCGCGAGAGGGTGAGAGAATTCACCAGAGCCAGAGCGGGGAACATAACTGGCAGAAGGACCGAAGTATACTGCTGAGGGGAGCAGCGGGCGGCAGGAGAGGTCTGCGCGCCATGTGGGACCCTCACCTGGCGACCGGGGGTCAAACCGGCACTGCAGAGGCTGCGGGCAGCTTCGCAACCCAGAGCTCAACCGCTGAGCCACCCGGGAGGCCCAATGTTGACCCATTTTAGACATGAGGAAATCAAGATGCAAAGAGGTGACTTGGCAAAGAAATTGTGTGGGGCTCAGAACTCAATGTCCCCTACACCTTCAAAACCTACCACTCTCCATCATTGCCCACATTCTCCACCTTCTTGCCCATCACAACCCAGAAGCCTCTCTCTTCCCTCCCTCCTGAGGGAAATAAATGTCCCTATTACAAGGTTCTCCAGCCACAGAGGCTCCACCAACCCTTCGTAGCACTTACAAAGATTCTGAGGAACATTTATTTGCAAGACTATTTGATAAAGCCTATCTCTTCCCAACTGGGATGGATCTAAGTACCAGGGGACAAGGACCTCTGTCTGGTCTTGCTCATCATTGTACCCCCAGGGAGAGATTTGTCTGGCGCAATGAGACCTGATTCATGAATGGAGGAACGAACACGTACAACAGCCCCACACAGATGTTGCATTTTACATGTGCAGAAGCTGAGTCCAACAGAGCCACCTGATCCCCCCACCCCCGACAGAGGCCACACAGCCACATAAGGGGGAGCTGGGCTACAGCCAAACGTCCGCTGGTACGGAGGCTGTCAGAGCTACAGCTATTACATGAACTCCATCTTGGTCAGGAAGGGCTTTGGCAAGACTTGTCTTTTAATGACATCTGAAAAGAGCAGGACTCCATGAACACTAACCTCTCTGCCAGAACTGCTGAAAGATTAAAATGATCAGGCTGAGGGATTCTGTGCCAGACATTCCATGGGAGCTGACTTATTTGTTGAGGAACAGTCTTTGTGATTTTCAAGGAATTTTATTCCCTGAGAAATTTTATCATTGATTCTGATTTGCTTGTGTAGCCTTTTAAGCAGGTCGTATTATTTGGTATGCTGGCTATCCTGGTATA